GGTTTGTTATTAAACAGTTCAATCGGACAATCAGAAACCACATCTGTTTCTGCTTTCACTGCATTGTCAGTGTCAGTATGTGCAGGTTTTAATTACAGACATGCTGCATGAATTCAGCAAGATTGAAATCATTTCCACAGGTTAAGTGTCCACGTTCTCCTGCCTTATACGCTTCCTGATCTCTCCAGCGCTCTGAAACACGTTGTTTTGTTGTCAAAAAATGCACGTGGTGCTGTGTTGATGAAGTGTGATGGAAAAAGAGTAATTTGACTGTCGGTAACCAGATCCCCGTCAGACGCTACAGCATGCCGTAAACACTGAAGCTCAGGAAGAGCAGACACTGTGGAATGGAGTGTGTTGATGGGGGAAACACTGACTGGACCAAAGCTGGTGCTGACAAAGTTGGAACCAACACATACACATACACATACACACAATGCACAAAATTTTTAGCAGACCCCAGCACATGACTAGCTGCCATTCGCAGCCTCATGTGCTTCCTGTGTCAATCATTCCATATTTTTTTTCTCGTAAATTCTCTTTCTCATAAAGCAGTCTCATGATGATCTGACCAATATTGTATCGTCAATCCAAGACCAAGACGTTTTATGTGCAGGTATCAAATGTCTCATATGCACAACCAGTTTTAATTATTGATTTATGTTTTTCAAACTATAATAAACAAACAATAAAAAAACTACAAAGAGACAAATATATACTTTTATTATGATTGTTGTTGGTATTGTTAATATATAACAATAAAATACTAAAATAAAAATAACTATAAAATAATAATAGTTATTGTTATGTTTTATTATTACATATTATTTTGTTGTCATTATTAGTATTAATAGTAATTTTATAATAGTAATAGAGGTTGATGTTTTTTCTGTCTGTAGTCTAATGCTTATTTATTATAGTGTCAAAAAAGGAAATCAAATATTGTTTTGCGATCTGAATTGCAAATTGGTTTAATCTTTGTTTTGGGTTGTGTCTAGCTGTTAAGCCCAAAATGTTACTCAAGAAAGAATAGCTGTTACATAAACAGATGAGTAATTTATGTAAACAGTACATTAAGTTAGTTACTTTTAACACTGTTGTGAATATAGTGGGATAATGGTGTTAGCTATATACTGTAGCTTAGTTGGTGGCACATGGTGCATAAATGCGCTTATACACTTTAACATAGTCATACACACATCTTATGTTCAAATGCAGCATCAGTTGATTATACAAACAAACCCATTATTGCTCCCTCATGATTTGATTTGTCTTGGCCAAAGTTTTCCGAAGAAGTGAAATAACATTGACTTGTGTGTTTTTGTTTTCAGAACTATAAAATATCTCCTCCTGCGTGTTTTGTTGGCCCAGTATGAGTCAGATTGGGTCAGCTGACTGTGATCAGTTCAACTTCTGCACCCTCTCTATTTTTTTAATCTAAATGATTTAGTTGTTGCTAGGGCAATCATCACTATTTCTAGTGATCTATACTAACATCTGAGCCATATCATGGGGTGATGCTCTTTTGACTTGGACTAGTAAGTAACCACCCAAAACCCCATACGACCCCATAGCATCACCCTGAACAGATCGTCTCTCTTTAATTTTAGACTTTTTGAAGAAAATACTGCACATTTGTTCATTTGCTCTACCAAGAAGATAGTTTATATTTTTACTTGTAATTTCTACTTTTCTGTCACCTTAATGTTCAGTCTTTCCCAAACTAATTTGTGAAGCTAAATTGTGAGCTTTAATATATTCATATTTATTTGTTTGCCTGGTGACAGCAGTAAAAAGCAGTGTTATTTTAGTATTATTTTATTTAGTTATATATATATAGCTTTTAATTGATTTTTATTTCAGTTTTAGTAATTTTATTGAGTAACATTTCTAAAGTTTTTTACGTTTTTCTTCTAATATTTGTTTTATTTATTTCAATTAACAAAAATGATTTGAATAGGTTAAGTTTTAGTTACTAAAACACTGGTAAAAAGGACGTATTGTTTATGTTCAAGCTGTCTTGGCTCTGTTTCTAAGCTCACTACACACATGCTTAAAATCAGATTACAAGCATATGCTTGAAATCCATGTTTATACCCTCCAACATGCAGCTTAGATGTTGACAATATTTTTTTCATGTGTGTGCTTCAACAAGACCACCTCTCTCATTACAACTAGTTTGCAGTTACGTCCTGCCCTTTTTTTTCTTTGTTTCTTTCCCCTCGAGTTTTTGTGGCCAGTTTCCAGACAATAATTAGCATTTAACTTTGGGTCCAAGAAGATATGTTGTTCCAGTAAAAACTCAGAGCAGTATAAACAGGCTGAAGAAGTTCTCTGTGCTCAGACAGGAGGGGTTGGATGTTTTCTAGAAGAAGTAGAACACAATGTGCTTTACGTGTCGGATTACAGCCCTGTTTATCAAAAGTTCTGCTCCCATTGGCCAGAGCCGTGCCGGAAGGAATCCCGCCCACTGTACCTCAGCCAATCAGCTGCCAGAGAAGTTTTAGTGCATGTGTGGAGGAAACGGAGTGGGAGTGGGGTACCTACATCGAGTAGGCTTGTGTGAAATGTGTGTGTATGTGAGTGTTTGGACAAGCTCAATGGATCGCAGTTCCTGGAAGCGCCTCCAAGTTGCTGCGAATTCCTGCGAATGCTCACAATAACAGATTCCTGAAAGTGGCTAGTGACTGCGGCTGACCAATGACAGAGACCCGGTGGGGGCATCGGCCCCCAGTCCCGCTCCGTTGGAGGAAGTGCCTGAAATGGATCTGCGAGGAATAAAGAAGGGGGTTGTTTATGTCAACCTGGCCATACCACAAAATGCTACTGCCCAGTCACCCCTCCTGTTCTCCGGTTTCATAGACACACGGGTCTAAACAAGTCTCAGTGTTCACAACCGCACTCACTTAACCCCAGTGTTCTTTAGCAGCGCTACAACAGGGTAACAACAGGACAGGATAATTCCAGATACGCCAGTCATGGTTTATTAAAAGTCATCTCATATCGCGCCATCATCGTTTACTTGCTTTTTTTTAAATCTATTTTGAAAGCAGATTTTCTTTTGGACGTGCTTAGACTTTTTATTAATTATTTTTTCCACTTAATATTTGGCAATATGAGCTAAATGATGACATCACTGTTTCCTACAGAGCTGCTTTATAGATGAATTGAATTCATTCCATAATTGATGAAATTACAGATATTAAACTCAAACTGACTTTTACTGAAAAATTGATTGTTTACTATTGTCCTCTTTTTTAGAGCTGCTTTACAGCAGAATTGAATTTTGTCTGCATCATTGAAACATTAATATCCTGTTTAACACTGTAAAGCTACTTTGACACAATCTGTATTGTATAAAGCATTATATAAATAAAGGTGATTTGACTTTTTAACATGAAACATCATTGTTTTATTATCCTAATCTGGCTCGAGTTGAGTTGAACACAATATCTTGCATAGACAAAGTGCTTTTTTGGACGGTATAAATGTTAAATGACTAAGTAGCAAATTTGAGATTGTTGGAAAATTGAAACTGATTCCTATTCATTCTTTGAAAACAACTGAATGTAAACCAAAATAAACTTCAGAGAGTCTTGTTTTCTGTCAGCTCCGTGTGATGTGTGAATCAGCACATCTTCTTGCCACCTTTAGCAAAAGATGAGATAAAAAGATAGAAATTGATGGGGAAATTGAAACTGATTTATATCTGATAAGACGTTTGAGAGAATCTTGTTTTCTGTCAGCTCTACATATGAACACATAACTAAACTTCTGTGATGCCTTTTGCGACAAAAGGTGAGATAAATAGACAGAAATGGATAAGAAAACTGCAATTCAGATATTGTAATGACATCACTTAGATTTCAAATAGCGATAAAAAATAAATACACTAAAAAAATATTAAATATTGTGTTTTCCCATGTCATGTGACCATTAACTGACACCAGAAAACTGAACGAACGAGTGTTGTTAAATGATTGAAATATTAACATCAAATCTCAGGGAGCACTTCAAGTCAATTTTTTCAGCTGACAAAAAGTTTGTGAATCTCTGTTCTAAACATTCCACTAAACACTGTTTGTTAATAGTCTGCACAGTAAGTGGTTTGAGCTGAATTAGTTGCAGAAAATGTGGAGAAGAAAACGAATGAAAGTAGATTATTTCAGGAATATCAATGCAGTTCTGCCTTGCAAGCACTTTTTTAAACTAAACAACACGTCTTCAAATCAGTGTGAAGAATGTACAAATCAACTGTGTTTATTTTTGTATTCCACTACAGTTATCTCTACTGTGCAATCAAATCACTGTCTCGCATGTGAATATATATTTAAATACCAGCCTGTTTGTTTAGTCCTGTGGTTTACTGGCTCCAAAAAAGTCACCAGTTTCTGTGAACTGACTATCTGTAGAGACTATTAATACCTGCAAAAAATATCATTTTGAGTATAGAAACACCGCCATGTGACCACCGCAAGTCAGGCCATAGATCAAGTTATTAGTAAGTCCTTGTCTGGTGCCAAAGTCAACATTTAATCAGTAGACGGTATCTGTATCTGTGTGAGTGATTGTTGTTGGGATGAAGCTTCCCTCTTCATCAGAGACTCACATTTGCAGGTCTTCATTTTGGGCAGTTTATTTATGAATACAGTTTGTCATGAAGAGTTTGTCAAAATAAATTCAAATGCTTGTTGGATTTTTAGAAACATCATCACAACTTCAGTCTTTCTCAACCACTCTCTTTCTTACCACTTTTAATTTCAATTTAGTGTGCTTTATTATTACCATGGTAAAAATGCTAAACTTTTGTATTGCAAAAGCAATGAGAAATTGTGCAAGATAAGTAAAATAACAGTAGGGCATTGCAAATGGAGTAAACCATTAATATTAAAATTAAAAACAAAATATCAGTAGTGCAAAGCAAAATAAGTAGAGAATAATTTACTACAGGTTGTTAAATGGTTGAATATGATTGTTTTCCCTCTCTTTCTCTTTCTCAGGCTGTGTGTTCTCGTTCAGGATGGTTACGGGATGTTTGGTGAGGTTCTTCTGCACTGTGTGTCCACAGAATCAGAGATCCAGCAGAGCTTTGAGCAGCTGGAGGGCTGTGTGTGTCTCCTCCAGGCCCTGAGAGTCGTCCAGCGTCTCACGCGCGACAAGTGAGTCTGATATAATCACATGACACTAAAAACATCCCGCTGATCTGAAAAATATCATTTTAAAGTTTTTCATGTAAATATATGAATATATATTAGTATTAATAATAATAAAAATCTAAATCTATATAAGTATATACATAAATAGTTATTAATAGGATATAAAGTTATGAATTAAGTAATATTTATTTATAGAATATAAATAAAACTATGAAAAGCAAATATGAAATAAAAATGATTTATTTATCCTCCAAAATCCAACAATTTGTTTTGTATTCAAACAGCTTATCTTCTTCATATTTTGACATTCGTAAGGCAGACGTAAGTGCCGTTATGTACTGAAGCTTTGGAAATAAAAACAACGGTTCAAAAGCATTAATATAAAATTGAAGAGAGCAATGCTACTGATTTTGCCGTCTTCTCCTGCACCATCGTTACTAAGCAATGGGGTAAACAGCTGTTGGCTTGATGACGCAAACGAACTGCGGTTCGAACCCAAATAATATAATGTGAACACAGTCCAGCGGGGGCAGGGGGAGGGGGGAGCAATCAAACTCGGTTTTGGACCAAGCAATCGAACCAAGTGTGAAAGCACCCTCAAACTGCACCCTGTTTTCTGCACTATTTGTGAATAATTAGTGAACCTTACTGCACTCTATTGAAGTCAAAGTTAATATGAGCTCCTGTTCCCACCCTCTCCGGCTCAGATTAGCAGCTCACCGTGTCAGTGTGTCTGCAGCACACTGGCCTGTGAAATTTACGTCTGTGTTGAGTATTATTGGCCTCTCGCCACATGTGTCTGCTCACTCAAGGTTGTCTGCGTGGTCACTGCTGTATGTGTTGTTTAAGTTAAAGATGGCACGTGATGGGAAATTCTGGTGACACGTTTCTACAGATATGAACATGAGCCGTGTACACGAATACCCAAGATTCCTTTGAACATGCACTGCTTATTTGGGATCAACGGCCATCTATATGGTGAATAGGGTGTGTGAGATTAGGGTTAGGGCACTTAAAGGTGGGGTAAGCGATTTCTGGTAGCCAATGTTGACATTTGAAATCACCAAAACA